CTCTCTCTCTCTCTCTCTCTCTCTCTCTCTCTCACACACACACACACACACACACACACACACACACACACACACACACACACACACACACGAAACCCCATGCTATGTTTTTAAAATAATGAATGGCACATTTACAGAAGATACCTGCACACACTTGTAATTTTTTAGAAGAAGACAAAACCAAAGAGGGTAGGAATAGGAACTGTTTATTAGATGGCTGCAAAGGTGACCTTGCCTCCGTCTGCAGCAGTGCAGGTGGTGGTGTGGTGGAGTGACAGCTGGGGTATGGACAGTTGGATTTGGCAGGAGGAGAGAGCTGAGGCCGGCACAGGGTGGAGGCTGCCAGGATGGGGGTTCAGCAGGGTGGGTGTTGGGCTTTGTTCTGCCTCAGTTTTCCTTCTCCGTGCTGTGAAGAAGGGATGATGAGGAAGGGGGGCTTAAGAAGTAATGGGATGTTTTAATATAGTCACTTTGAGAAATCAAGACAGAGAGCAGATCCTATTGGGATCACAGTGCAGAGCTCATGAACGTGTAGTGGTGTCGTCTGTGGATGTGAGAGTGCTCCTGTGCTACATGAGAGTGCTCCCATGCTACAAAATGCTCACGCATAGGAGCTGAGCCTGCTAAGTAGCTTGGGACACGTTCATTTCCTTTTAGGGATTCTTTGAACTGATACCACAGGACCTCATCAAGATATTCGATGAAAATGAACTGGAGGTAAGAAATATTTCTCTGTGTGGCTGGGAATGTACTTCAGTGGTAAGAACTCGGTCCTGAGTTCAGTCCTCAGTGCCACCTAGGGTGAGAAAGAAGAAAGCAGAGGAGTGGGGAGGGAAGCATGAAGGAGAAGATACAGCTTAATCGGTGGAGTTTATGGAGAAGGGGGGGGGGAGTGATGCTTAGCATACATGAGGCCCTGGGCTCCATCTGCAGCAGAGCGAAAGCCAGGTATAGTGGTGCACACCTATTATGCTGCTCTTGAGAGGTGAAAGCAAGATCAATAGTTCAGAGTCATCCTCAGCTACATTATGAATTCAGACTCTTAACTTGCTGTTTCATTGGCCAAACAGAACTTTATTAAACAATCAATAAGATAAACATACACAGAAGTACTTCCCCCATCAGGTCTCTCTTTATATGACCCTGTCTATTAAGAGAGAACTGGAGGGCCAACAAGATGGCTTAGTTGGAAAGGCATTTACCACCAAGCCTTGACAGCCCAAGTTTGAGCCCTAGAAGGGAGACCAACTCCCTCTGACTTTCACACTCATAACATGGCATATACATTGCCACCACACATAAATAAATAAATGGATGGATGGGTGGAATAAAAATATCAAGAAAGAAATATTTTATGTTAAAATAGAGTTTTGGCTAGGTGTAGTGCTGCATGCCTTTATTTCCCAGCACTTGTACTGGGCAGGGGGGTGGTGGAAGCAGACAGATCTTTGTGAGTTTGAAGCCAACCTAATCTTTATAATGAGTTCCAGAACAGCCAGAGGTACATAATGATACCCTGTCTCAGGGAGGAAAAAAAAAAAAGGCTTTGCATCTAGTTTTTCCTGCTTGAAGTTCTGACTGCATATCTTATCTGCAGCTTCTCATGTGTGGTCTGGGAGATGTGGATGTTAGTGACTGGAAGGAGCATACAAAGTATAAAAATGGCTACAGCGTAAACCACCAGGTCATCCATTGGTTCTGGAAGGTAATCTCAAGCTTGCTTTTCGATAGGTTCAATTATACTATGCCACCTCTAGAATAACTTTTGGGTACATGGCACAGGGGTAGCCCAGAAAAGCACACCAGCTGAGCATGTGTACCTTTGATTTTGTATGCTCTGTCTCAGCATGTGTTTCCACCCTCCAGATATTCAGAGGTAAGTAGGTAGGGAAATGATTCAGAATAGCTATAAAGGAGCTAAAATAGACACCCTGGCTCCTTTAAATTCACTTACACATGTGCCATTCAGTAATATCAATAAATGTAATTATTAAAGATGTTTTTAAAAATTGTGTGTGTGTGTGGCATGAATTTATGTGCATCACATGTATGCAGTGCCTGCAGGAGCTAGAAGAGGGCATCAGTTACAGATAGTTGTGAGCCAACATGTGGGTGCTGGTCCTCTGCAAAAGCAGTAAGCATTCTTAACTACTGGGCCATCTCAGCCCCGAGAGAAAAGTCTTAGAAATAGGTTTTTTGAGAACAAGAACAAAACTTAGTGGTTATTAATTCTCTAAATTCTAATAGGTTTTTTTTCCAGGATAATTTGTCTGTTATTTCTAGTACTCTAACAGAAGTCTTTGTTTTCCAGGCTGTTTTAATGATGGATGCAGAAAAAAGAATACGCTTGCTTCAATTTGTTACCGGCACATCCCGTGTGCCTATGAATGGATTTGCTGAACTCTATGGTAAGGATTCTGAATAGATGTCTCTAAAATGCAGACATTGACTGTCATTTTCAGGGCTGATAAGTCTTCAAGCTTCTACCATTTTCACAATGTTTCACTTAATTTTAAAAAATTAAGTTGTGAGCTTGAAAAACAACTTGGTTCGTAAAGTGCATACCTGGCAAGCACTTGAGACTACCACAGAATTAATGTTAAAAGTTGGGCATAGAGGCACACACTTGTAATCCCAGTCCTGGGAGGCAGGGGTAGGTGGTCACTGGCGGGTGGGTCACTGAAGTTCACTGGCTGGCCAGCCTAGACTACTTGGCAAGCTACAAGTGGCTAAGAGACCAGGACCCATAAAAAAAGAAATGGATGGTGCCTGGGAGAGTAGCACCTGAGGTTGGTCTCCAGTGTGCACACGGACACACGGACACACGCACACACACACACACACACACACACACACACACACACATGCACACACAAGAATTAACACTTAAGTGATCATTTGATATACCGAAGTAGGGCAGGCTTTATTTCTACCTTGTAATCAGATAATGAAGGAGAAACTGGGAAATGGTTGAGGTATTTTCCATTCTTGAGCATTAAGCCCTATTTTCTCTGTGGTCCCGGAAACATTAGTGCCTTGAGGGCAGTGGTTTTCAACTTTCCTAACGCTGGGACCCTTTAATATAGTTCCTCGTGTTGTGGTAACCTTTTTATTGCTACTTCTTACTGCTACTGTTATGAGCTGTAAGTATCTATGTTTTTCGCTGGTCTTAAGTGACCCATGTAAAAGGGTAGGGTAGTTTCACCCCCGAAAGGGTCTTGACTGACAAGTTGAGAACCACTGCTCTAGAGTAATGACAGGTAAGGACAGCACTGAAAGATTGTTAGCCAACATCTAAGCAATGAATAGTGGCCTCAGGATAAGAAAGATAAACTGTCCCTCTTGTCCAAGGATTCACTTTACTATTTCAACTACATCAATCCATCTAAAAATACTGAAAGGTATTTCAGTGAATAGCAGAGGCCGAAGCCAGGTAGTGGTAGTGCACACCTTTAAACCCAGCATTCAGGGGGCAGAGGCAGGAGAATCTCTGTGGTTTTGAGAATAGCCTACAGAGCGCGTTCTAGGACAGCCAGGGCTACACAGAGAAACCCTCTCTCTCCAAAAAAAAGAGCAAAGACCACAGTCCCATGGCTTTGGTTGCCCTGTGCTGTTTACAGCCTTCTCCTTGTTGAGTAGTACTGCCTTGTTATGTGTTAGTGTGCGATGTGCATGTGTGTGTAACACCAGCAAATGTGGGGGTTAGTGCTAGCCACGATTTAAGGTGTCCACAGGGGGCGGGGCTTGAAACCTGTTCTCTACAGATGAGGAAGAACTGAAGTTTTTTGGGGTGGGATGGGAGGTTTGTTTTTTGAGGCAGGGTCTCTGTGGCTTTGGAGGTTGTCCTGGAACTAGCTCTTGTAGACCAGGCTGGTCTCGAACTAACAGAGATCCTCCTGCCTCTGCCTCCCGAGTGCTGGAATCCACGGTGTGTGCCACCACGCTCGACCTAAAAGATTTCTTAAAGTTTTCCAAAGCTTTCTCAGTCATGGGATCATTATTTTCCTTTTGTGGTTTGGTGTGACCTGTCTCGTAGCAGCTGTCAGTAGGTTCTTCATTCTTGTGGGAGATGGCAGGACCCCAGATGAGACCACACACGTCTCTCTCTTTTAATTTTTCATTTATTTCACACGTAATGGTGTTTTCCCTTCCTGTATGTCTGTGTACCACGTATTTGCCTGGTGCCCATGGAGGCGAGAAGAGGGTGTCAGATCCCCCAGAGCTGGAGTTCAGGAGGTTGTGAGCTACCAGTGTGGGTGCTGGGAGCCTAACTTGTGTCCTCCGCAAGAGTGGTGTGGGCTCTTTACAGCCCACACTCCAGTACTGAAGCATGTAGCTGTGAATCTGATCGTGGTGGGTGAAATATGCAAGGTTATGCCTCTAAGAAAACTTACTGCTGAGAATATTAAATATGCTCTCACTGCTTCTGGCAGCTGTTCACACACATTTGGAAGTGATTATGAAATGTAAGGAGAAGAATGGAAAGTCACAGATCAGGATAGGAGCCTCATTATCTGGTGGTTGGGGTGCTGAGGATTCAAGAGAGCTAAGTGGAAACTCAGAGAAAAGGAAAGGCAATTTCTGCGGTGTGCATAATGAGAACAATTATAGACCATGGAACAGGATGGAGTGGACATCTCCCAGCAGGTCTCAACCTGTGGGTCTCCATGCCCTGGGGTCACATATCAGATACCCTAAATATCAGATATTTACATACCACTCATAACAATAGTAAAATTACAGTTAGGAATTAGCAACAAAATAATCTTATGGTTTGGAATCACGACAACTTGAGGAACTGTATTATAGGATTGCAGCGTTAGGAAGGTGAGGACCAAGGCTCTATATGAGTGTGCACACACTCAGAAAGACTCCTGAATCAGGTGTGTGCACTCATACTTTTCCAGACAGGGTTTCTCTGTGGCTTTGGAGACTGTCCTGGAACTAGCTCTTAAAGACCAAGCTGGTCTCGAACTCACAGAGATCTGCCTGCCTCTGCCTCTGAGTGCTGCGATTAAAGGCGTGCGCCACCAATGCCCGCCCTGCAAGTGCACTCACACTTTTAATCCCAGTACTTGGGACTGACAGAAGTTTAAGGCCAGCTTCAGCTATATTTGGAGGCCCAGACCAGCCTGGACTAAGAGACTCAGTCTTATGGTTCACTGATATGGATCACTGATATGATCTGGCCACCAAAAGCTAGATGACATGAGTTCAATACCCAGAACCCAGAACATGGAAAGAGAGAACTCCCATAAGTAGTTCTCTGACCTCCACACACGGACCTTAGCATATGTACGCTAAGGTACACACAGAAAGTAATAATGAATAAATATAAATTTTTTTAAAACTCAAGACTGAAACTATGGCTCAGTAGTCAAGTGCTTTCGTGGCATGTATGAGGTCTAAGTTCAACACTGGAAAACAACAAACAAAAAAAACTACACAAAAAGCCCTCCCCAAATTAACCACCTTTAGAGCTAGGATATGAATGACTTTTAAGTTCTTTGGTTCTGTTTTATTCTGTTGTTTTCAAGTTTTTCAGTAACTATATAATCAGAAAAAGGAAAACATACATGTTTTCAATGTGAGTCAAAAATAGAGCCCTCCCTTCCTCTCTGTACTTGTAAAGGAAATCCTAGTTGGAGATGCAGCTGGGTCAGAGCTAGGAAATGGCCAGGTGTATCACCAGGAGTACCTCAGTGGGGCAGAGGGGCATGGCCCTCACAGAAGAAACAACAGGCTTGCCAGTGAATCCAAGCACAGGCCGGGCTTCTATGTGTGCAAGTTCTATATATGCAAAAGTACATTTTGTAATGTCTAGGGTCTTGTGGGTAAAGTAAATTAAACCATGGAAACTCTTTCCCCATAGGCTCGAATGGACCACAGTCCTTCACAGTTGAACAGTGGGGCACCCCTGATAAGCTGCCAAGAGCACATACCTGGTGAGTAGCTGTTTTACCCTTAATGGAGCAGAGCTCCCCTTCCTGCTGGACTAGGAGCAGCCCCTACCATGCCCTTGTGGGATTGGTGTGTGCTAGCCTTAGGAGAGAGGAAAGGACAAACAGAAACCCAGAAATCATGCTGCTTGGGCTCAAAATCCAGGTAACTAAGGACAGAGAAGCCCAACTAACTGTTGACCATATATATTGCCCCATTCCATGGGTGATGGCCTATCCCAAAAAGTGCTAGAATATTCTATCTTGGAGGCTAACAGTCAAGGAACCTACTTATTGGGGGGGGGGGGGGGGTGAGGACAAGACTGCATAGGGAACCTCCCTGCCTATTGTGACCTCTGATAGCAATGATGAAACATATTCCTGACAAGTGGCAATGGTACTACAGTTACCATGGTGATTGCTGCATCCCTGTCAGTCCTAACCAGATCCTCTCCATCCTTTCAGCTTTAATCGCCTGGACCTGCCACCCTACGAATCGTTTGACGAACTCTGGGATAAACTTCAGATGGCGATTGAAAACACTCAGGGCTTTGATGGGGTCGATTAGATTACAAGTAACAAGCTGTGGTGTCTTAAACACCATAGTTTTTAAGCAAAAGCAAAATTGCATCTTAACATTTTCCAGAGTACTTCTATAAGATAGTCACTGGCTCTTCCCCGAGAGACCAGAGTACACAGTTCATCCAAGGTTTCAGCCACCACCATACTGAAGTGTTCATTTGTCCAGTTACTTTGTCCTTTCATTGGGGTTCACACGACAGGGCATTTAAGTCCTGTGTGCCTGGCTGTATCTCATCTTACTAGGCACATCGTTCTGAAACTACTGAGATTCCAACTGTGAAATATCTGTAATGAGTATATGGTGGGAAAAAATTGACGATTTTTTGAGATGAAATTTGGACAAAAAGTCTTTAATACTGAGTAACTGCGACACACTTAGTGCTACTTGTCGCTTTGTATTCTGTAGAACTTGCCTAGTGTACCTTATTGCCTAGATCTTTGGAACAACTTTGGAAGATGTGTCACTTACATTTTTAGTCACTTGAGTCACTTGCAAAAAACAAAAAAAAAAACAAAAAAGAAAAACAAAAAAAATATATACTCTTCACTCGGGATGTATTTCACGTTTGTTAGCATGCAGCTTGAGCCTACAGGCCATTGAGAAGACGAGTGGAGGAGCAAGCTTTTATTTGCAATGTGTAGAAAGTTTTAGGCCTCCCTCTGCCCTGTGTACCCTCAAGCCTACAGTTATTATGTGTTAGTGTGTTTAGAATGCCTTCAAACACTAAACAGTCTCCACAAAACAGTGTTTCTACGCATGCCGTGAAGAATCAAGTTACATGTATGACTTGCCCTACCAGCCACTCTTCACGCTTGCAGTCACGTAGTACATACGTGTTTACGGAGTTCATTATGTTTACAGATCAAGCGAATTTCTGTAGTTGCATTTTTATATTTTTAGTATCACATTAGTATAAAAGAATTTGTTTAAAATAACCAAAGAGTAGTTCAATGCATAATTTGTATAAATTTGTTACCAGGTTTCTTATGCTTTCTAAAAAATACTGTTTACTATGAAAATTATGTTTTATTCAAAGTCAAAAACCCTTGAGGCACATGCTACAGGTGGAATCCCACCGAAACCACATTGAAGTATAGGAAGAGACCCCGTGCATGAATCAGCACACATAGACAGTGCCAGCTATGTACCAGGGCCTGAGATAAAATTGTCAGCAGTGACATCCAGCTCCATCTTCATCCTTGAGAAACCTGGAGATATGTAGATGACTTCATAAACCACAGAAAGCAGGGATGAGCAGCCAAAGGCAGGCGGAAAGGGAGGCGAGGTCCCGGTCCACCTGCAGAGAGCATATGTGCTGACTCTTATTCATCCTTATGATGGTGTGATTATGCAGAAAATGCTCATTATGCATGTCTATGGAAAAACTAAGCCTGCTTTTCAATGTGGTATGTATAAATTAATGTACTCGTGTGTTAACTTTCTGGGGTGCGTATAAATGCCCCATGGGAGCTGTCAGAAGTACGTGGGGTCACTGGTTTTAGTTTGTTGGCTCTAACAAGACAAGTGCCTGTCAGCCCATGGTAGGGATTCCAATGACAGTAGCAGAAACACTTTCCGTGGGCCACATCATTGTGTGGGTCAGGGAAAGTGACCCCAGGCCAGTGCATGCTTCCCAGCTGTCTTTACTGAGTCAGCCAGCCATGACACCTGTACAGTCTTGATTCTATCATTGGCCATCTGTGTGAGCCTTCACTACAAGGCTCCAGTTTCTTCATCTGTCAGGTGTGAATAGCTATGCCCACCCTTTTGTCTTTTGAGGTTATGGTAAGTTCTGGAGTACCAAAAGATCAGGCCGTTCTTTTTAAAGAAATGTTTTCCTGCCAGACACCAGAGTCTGAGTCAGGCACCCAAGCTGCCTCTCCTCCCAGTTAGTATGTTCACCTACAAAGAAAGTGATTTAGAGTAGGTGAAGATGAAAGGATATGGCTGACCCCAAATGTGTGCTGGCATATATGTATGTACTCATGTATGGATCTTAGCAGCAGAGTTCACTTTCTCTACAGTGGCAAAGTAACACTAATATGGGCCGGTGTATTATCTGGAATGTCCCCATTGTTTAGAACTAAGGGTGAAACTGTCTTATGAAATAGATTTGTACATGGCTGTTTGGTCCCTCCTTGGAGAAGCCATCAACAGCAGAGCTTAGAAAACATAAGCTTTCTTTTCATCAGGCAGATAGCCCTTTGAATGGTCCATTGACTTCACTAGAACCTGGTATTAGGAAGTCCAAGCACACTCCCACTCACCCAGGTGTGGACCAATGGTCTGGAGGAACCTGGATAGATCACCACAGCTCCTCGTGCCAGTCTGCATGGAAATGTCTCAGCGACATTCGACTGCTGGGGAGTTGTGGAGCCAATTTCACAAAGCAAAGGCTTTGTACTTTTCTAGGAAAGTATGTTAGCCTTCATTTTCTCTAATTCTCCTCCCCTGACAAATGAAACACAAAATTACGTTACAAATGCAGACCCAAATGGTAATTTGTTTTCGCTTTTTATTTATAACACCCAAGTTATTCCTTAAAAATATCAAGTTAAACACAATTGGTTTTGGTGATAAGCTATTCGACATTGTTTTTAAATTCTTTCTTATATGGTAAATGTATATCCAGATTAATGTATCAAAAATTATCGCATAAACTATAAAATCATTTTCAAAATCTCAATTCCACAAATAAAGTTCTATTCTAATTTTAAAGACAAAGCTGAGGCTCATTTTACTGAGGGACGTCTTCAGGTTCTCAAGATAGACCTGACATGTGTGTGAACGCGTCCTGCAGTTCCTAAATGACTGATGGACAGTCTGTCTCCACTTTACCTAGGCAAGTATAGGAAGTGGGTTAGTTTAGGGCTCCCCATTTCATTTGGGGTTACACAGACTCCCTGAGAATAGTGAATTCAGCAGTCTAGTTCCTTCACCTGCATGTATTGTACGTACACACCCCTCTCCAACCAATGTGCCCAGGACCCCCTTGGAGTCTCACCTGCATTGGGCTGCACATTCTCCCTTCTCTGAACAAAAGTGTACACTTCCCTGTTTCTGGTAACAATCATATTTAGTCAGTATCCAGGTGGATATCCGACAAACCAAAATATGAAGATTAGAAGGGCTGGTTCAGATTGAACTGGTTTTGGGGTATATATGCAGAAAGGCAAAACTATGTCTTCCAGTAAACTTTGGGAAGATTGCCCTGTTTACCTTCTATGCTTGTGCATATGACTAAAGTCAGATACAGGATGGGACATCACAGTGGGAAAAGTGAATATGACCTAATCTATCAATCAATAGGGAGCCACCCAAACTACATCCCTTAGTAACCAGCCCCCTCTTCCTTTAGACCCAATAAAAAGACCTCAGGCTGAAGCCTGGGCCCTTGAATGCTCTTTTATGCCCCTCTGTCAACCTTCACAATGTTTCTTTGCTTATTAAAAATTTTTGAGAATTTTATGAGGCCTCTACCGCTGATCACTGAAGGTCCCAGTGCTTGTATTTCCTGGAACACTCAGCTCATTTCTAATTTTACATCACTTCTTTGGGCTTAGTGACCTCACTATTGGTATCCACTAATACCAATAACCTAATTCTAATGATTATTTGCATAATTTTGCACATATTTGGGCAGCTTAGGGACAGAGAAGCCTTTCATGCATCTTTTTCTTAAAAATTTGTTTTGCCAGGCGGTGACGCACACCTTTAATCCCAGCATTCAAGAGGCAGAGGCAGGCAGATCTCTGCGTTCCAGGCCAGCCTGGTCTACAAGAGCTAGTTTCTAGGCAGCCTCCAAAGCCACAGAGAAACCAAAACCGTGTCTCGAAACAAAACAAGTAAATAAATATTTGTTTTTATTTATGGATCTCTGTGTCTGTGGATAACACTTGAGAGCAGGTGCCCTCAGAGACCAGAAGGCAGCATCAGATCCCCTCCCTCCTCTCCTCTCCTCTTTCCCCCATACATTTACCATCTACCCCTCCCCTTCTACTCCTCCCCCATCTCCATTCAGAAAGGGGGGACCTAGCTCCTCCCCTTTCGTCAAGGCTGGGCAAGATAACCCAGCATGGGGAACAGGCTTCCAAAAGCTAGCTAAGGGCCAGGGACATGTCCTGATGTCATTGCTAGGAGCCTTACAATGAGACCAAGCTACACAACTGTCACACACATGCAGAGGGCCTAGGTCATTCCCATTGAGACTACCTAACTCTTGGTCCAGAGTCCATAAACTGCCATAAACTCAGGTCAGCTGTCTCAAAATTAGTGATTTTTACAAGATTTTTAAAGTGTGTGTGTGTGTGTATGAGGGTATCATTGGAGGGCAGAGGAGGGCATTGGCTCACCTGGAGTGGAGTTACAGATGGTCGTGAGCCACTGTTTGAGTGCTGGGAATCAAACTCAGGTCCTCTGGAAAAGCAGCCAGTGCTCTTAACTACTGAGCCATCTCTCCATTCCCTAATTTCTTATATACTGACCAATGACAGTTGAGATCCATTTTCACAACCTATTTCATTTTGTTTTCACAAGAAGACAGCAGGAATTTTTTCCTGCCAGCTGAACCTGATGATATTGCCATTAATGATTAAATAACTTGATCATATTATCATTGGTACTTAACTGGTATTTGTGAAGATACCTTAACACATATATTCTTCAAAGAAGTGAACAGTTGGAATAAAAAAAGAAAAATGAAACTGAACAAATCCCCTGGGTATGATGCTCTTCTTTTGCACAAGCTGCTAGAAACAGCATCTAAAAACTAGACCCTCTGTAGCTCAGAAATCTCCATGGATTCTGTTGGCATCAAAACCCAGGAGCCAACTTGCCAGGCTTTACCTTCTCCAGGATCCCTCAGGGCTGCCAGAGTCCAGTTTGTTTTTTTTTTTTTTTGGTTTGGTTTTTTTTTTTTTTTTTTTTTTTTTTTTTTTTTGGTTTTGGTTTTGGTTTTTCAAGACAGGGTTTCTCTGTATTGCTTTGGAACTCGCTCTATAGACTAGGCTGGCCTCAAACTCACAGAGATACGCCTGCCTCTGTCTCCCGAGTGCTGGGATTAAAGGCATGGGCCACCAACGCCCAGCTCCAGTCCAGTTCTTAATAGCTCCAGGCCTGGACTCCTCTTGTGACTGCAGGTAACTTGGGGTGGGACACTTACCTCCATCCCCCATCACTGGTCCATCTCTATTCAGGAAGAGGTTGCATCTCAAGCTCCTAGCCTCTGGTTTGCTGTCTGCCACAGGTGGAAAATTTCTCTTCAATCAGGGCTTACTTGACCAGATGTGGCCCACCTGGTACCCTCCCAGATTGTTCTCAGAGTTTTTAAAGTAGAGTCTCCAGTCCTTCCCTTCCTATCTTTTAAATTGTGGGGAGGCAGATTTTCTGAAGAACAATCTGGTCAGCCATGCCTGTGGTTTTCAATGAAGGCTCTTACTTCCGGCCGTGCTATGCAGATGCATCAGCCGATCTGCTCAGTCATTATAGGTTAAACCTAAAATGTAAAAAACGCTAAGGTGTCTAATTCTGTAACACACAGTGTGCTAGCTAATTTTATGTCAACTTGACACAAGCTAGTGTCATTGGAGAGGCGGGATTCTCAATTGGGAAAATGCCTCCATAAGACTGGGCTGTAGAGAAGCCTGTAGAACATTTTCTTAATTAGTGTTTGATGCAGGAGGGCACAGCACTCGGGAGGCAGAGGCGGGCGTATCTGTGAGGTCGAGGCCAGCCTGGTCTCCAGAGAGAGTGCCAGGATAGGCTCCAAAGCCACACAGAGAAAACCTGTCTTGAAAAAAAAAAAAAGAATAAGCCAAATAAACACCTCCCCAAGTGTTTCATCACAGCAAAAGAAATCTTCACCAGGATATTCCGTTCCTAATCAGCACAAGGCTGTGTAAACTGACTTGAACACCAACCAGTGAGACTTAAACACTGCATGTTCAAGTCCCTCCTCCTGTAAGCTCCTGATCTTTGTCTTAATACCATGGAGTGCAGATTGACCTACCCATCAATGAAAGGCCAAAGCTGTTCCTTCTTTTTATTTGAAGGTTGGTATTCTTTGCAGGATTAGTTGGTGGGTCCAAGTCAGAACAGAGTCCAGAAGTAGGGAAAGCCCAAGAGGGAAGGGCAACAGTGTTCTTCCCACCTGGCGTGGCTGGACCATCCTCTGCAATCCAGTGACTCTGGATAAGACATCTTCCTCCTAGTCCAGTTAATCAGACTAAATAAGCAACTGGTATTTAAGTACAGCAGCACCATCCAGTCCCTTATTTGGACCATAATTCTGTGGAAAAATAATTATCAAGGCAAATAATCTGTATTCCTGAAAATAGTTTCTCTTTAACAAGAATGATTTTTAAATGTATGTGTATGAGTCTGTGTGTGTGTGTACCACCTGTGTGTAGTGCCTACAAAGGCCAGTAGAGGGCATCTGATCTGGAACTGAAGTTACAGATGGCTATAAGCTGCCTTATGTGGGTTCTGGGAACCCGATGGGTTCTCCCGAAGAACAGTAAGTGCTCTTAACTGCTGAGCCATCTCTCCAGTCCCCAAACAAGTATATTTTACACAGGAGAAAGTCAAGAATAGTCACTTGAACTACTAGAGATAATAAGCACAGCAAACCACAGCTAATGTCTGTTTAAACAAACAGGGTTTTCACTGATGCTAGACTTGAAAGCACAACCCAGACGAATGACTTTGTTAGTACTCTATCCCTGGGCACCAATCCAAGAGTAGCATAAATACTCTTCCCGGCTGACGACAGTGAAATATCTTACGTTTAGCCTCTAATGGGATAGCCAAGTTCTCGGTGATAAATGGCTAACCACCAGCTGGGTTTGCTTCTTTAGTTTTACCATTGCTTGTAATGGGGAAGTGCTTGTTACTCGGTGTTGCTGGTGTGGGTTTTTTTTAGCCAGGAGGATTCAGAGACATTTTCACCTCATCTGTCTCTTCAAAAGAATTGTGAGATGAGAAAAGAGAATGTTCTAGGAACACAGTCACTACCAGGATTCTGGAATCATCTATGGTTGCCCAGGAGCTCTGTTTGCTTGTTTGCTCCATTTCCATCTGGGGACAGTGTGGAAAGGAATGTGGGAAGTATCAAAATCTCTAGTCAGAAAGCAGGTGTGAGGCTGCACATCTGTAATCCCAGCACCGGGAGGTGGGTGCCGGAAGATCAGAAGTTTGAACTCACCTTCAACTACATGGGGAGTTCTAGGAAAACCTGAGCTACATAAGACCCCATTTTAAAATCAATAAAAAAAGACTTGTAATTAGTCATGTAGGCACTGGCAAGGTAGGTGACCTTAGGGAGAAAGGAGAAATTACACAGACTTTGGAAGCTATACTGAGACCTGTGTGAAGGCCCCAAACTGCAGCCTTAACCAATGGACATGTATGTGTGGTATCATTTTATACTTTCTAATAGCAACATTCAAGTGAGTAAAAAATAGAATGGGAAGTCATTTGTAATAGTACAACACACCATATCAATATGTAATCCATATACAATTGGTAATGAACTCATTTTTCACTTTGGGGTATTAGGTCTTCAAAATCCAGTATTGTCTTACACCATACCATATCTCAGTTCAGACTGGTCATGCTCCAAATAGCCATGTGTGGTTGGTGCTTGTGTACCAAACAACCTTGGGGGTGATGAAGAAGGCTAGAACTGTATAAGGGAGAGACAGTGAGAGGCTGATGGGCTGGGTTCA